TAGTGCTCTTAGGCTTCAGTGACAACCAATTTTGTCAAAAAAAAAAATATGATTAAAATCTATCACAATTTTTTTTTTCTCCAGTAAATGATGTATTACTAATTTTTGTAATATATAATTTTAATGTCAATGAACTGTTAGTATACTAGAAAATATGTTAAAAGCTGTATGCTTTTTTTGTTACTGTAATTATTTTTTATACATTAATTTTCAACAATGTTTTTTCTTTAAAGTTACATTTCAAGAGTTTTCCAATGATTATAATATCATAAGTATGTATATAAATATGGTTATCGCATAAAAGAGACTTTCGATTTTTAAATTGAGGGCTCTTCGTTTGTTGTATTTTTAATCTTTAGATGTAATAGTTAGTCTTATTATATACCTAATAATTAGTCTTATAGTTTATTACATTTTATAAATATTATATTGTAAGTTAAACATCAATATTAATAAAAGATTATTAAAACCAGCTTATGAAAACAAAGAAAAAATTAAGTAATAGACGTGGATGATCAAAACTATTTTAAATTTTGATATCAAAGAAAGAGTAAATATAAGGATGTATACGTATAATTAGATAGAAGGGAGGTCAATATAGTTTACTCAAAGTTTGGTCAGGGGTAAAAAAATAATTTAAAAAAATTAGAAGCAGTCTAGCTATAATTACACCAAACATTAGGGCCCTGGTGTAGTAAATTTGCATTTTTTTCAGGAAAATATTGGTAAATTTGACCGAGCGATCATGACATACGAGCAACCCGAAAAAGACTTCACTGTTTCAAACAATATTTATGCACATAAATTGAAGATAATGAAAATTATCAATTATCACAACAAAATAAGAGAAATTTTAATCTGAGCATTTTTCATGCATGAATTAATATATAATAATTTATTCTTTCTTGATACTCTTGATAGATAAGTAGAATATGAAATTTAGTACTTATTTGATTTTATTTAAAAATAAATTTCTATAAAATATAGTGTGTACCTTTATTAATTAATCATAAATTATATATGAAGTAAAATCATACGTATATATTTCTAAATTCTAAAACATGCAAACGAAATGATGGGAAAGGAATGTAGTATATATTTCGATATAAAGATTTCTTTATGATTTGAGAGATTTAATTCAATGGAGCGAGGTGGAATAATTCAATTAACATGTAACAACTTTGGGAGTGAAAAAGAAAAAAAAGAAAGAAAGAAAAGAAAAACTCTTGCATTTATTTGTCAGCTTGTACTGCAGTCGCAGTTCTGAAGCTTATCACCTCAACCAACATTTTCAATAATCCAAAACCCAACTAATTTTGCTTTTCCATCGCTTCTTATCCATCTATCCATCTATACTCGTTCAAACCTTCATTCAATACTCAAATCTCTCTCTCCCTTTCTCTCTCATCTCATCTCTCTCTCTCTCTCTCTCTCCCCAAACCTATTCTCTCGATTCTTCACCGTGAATGGCGCCGCCATCTTCAGATTCTTCATCACTCCCTCAGGACCACACCACCGATTCCGATCACCACCTTCATCTCCAACCACTACTGGAATCTGCCCGTCCATTTCTCCGCGGCGAGCTCCAAGATGTCGACGCAAATCTGCCACGCCTCATATCGGTGCTCCAGGCCGCCGGCGCCGGCGAGTGCTGGCACAAGCACGGTAGCTTCCTCGACCATCTGATCGGCGTCTACCGGATACTCAAGATGTGGAAAGCCCCCGACGAGGTCTGCCTGTGCGGCCTCTTCCACTCCGCCTACTCCAATTCATACGTCAACCTCGCCATCTTCCCACCTTCCTCCGCCGGCCGCCAAACCGTCCGCTCCCACGTCGGCCCCGCCGCGGAGCGCCTGATCCACCTCTTCTGCGTCGTCCCCCGCCAGCCCCTCATTCACGACTTTCTCCTCTTCCAGTACACTGATCAGGAGCTCGTGGATCACCTCCGATCGTCGGAGATCAGCCTTAGAAAAATCATCGACGACGGAGGAGAGATCGAAGCGGAGATCTGGAGGGCGAAACTCCAGTCAATTTGCCCGGCGGAAGGGATTAAAGTGAAGCACATAAAAACAGGCGAAGACGTGCTTGTTTCCCGGAGGCTCCTCGCCGTTTTCCTTCTGATGACGGTGGCGGATTTCAGCGACCAGCTTTTCGGGTTTCAGGATGCTCTGTTCGGAAACTCCGACGGCCGCCTCGAGTTTTCCGGCAACAACACACTGACATCTCTGTGGCCCGGCAACGGCAAGCCGGGGCTGTGGATGAACTCGGTATCGAGAATGGCGGCGATATACACTTTGATAGTGAGAGAAGAAAAAATATACATGAGTAGCACATCGAAATTAAAAGATAATATTAGAGAAGACGAAGAGTTGGAGCTGGTGATTCCGCCGGTGTTCGAGGGATGCACCAGGGTTCTTGATTCGGAGGATCAGATAGCAGCAAGGGATATGTACTGGGAGGCGGTGTGCAATGCGGCGGAGATAGGGTTGGAGAAGGCGGAGGAGCTGCTGTTGAAGAGTGTGGAGAAGAATCCATTTGTGGGGGAGGGATATGTTGTGTTGGGGCAGATTTATTTGGGGGAAGGGAGGTTTGAGGAGGCGGAGATGGCGGCGGAGAGAGGGCTGAGATTGATGCTCCAGTGGGGGAGTCCATGGGATAAGAGGATGACGTGGCAGGGTTGGGTTGCTTGGGCTAGGGTCTTACTCATGAAGTCCAAGGATAAATCATGGCCTCACAATCCTTGGGGTATTCTCAATTTGGGCCTCGTTACTTAATAATTAATTACCCAATTTTCAACAATAAATAAATGAATAAGGAATAAATTAAAAAGAACTTTTATTGCTATGTACTTTGATCAATTATTAATAATAATAAAAGTGATTAATGAAGTTTTATCGAAGTTTGATTGATGTGTACGTAGATATCCTTGATGATGCTAATTAGTTAGATCACCTGATGTAGTGTAAAAAACGAGCTGGGAGAGCAAAGCAGATCAGTAGCTTGACAACTTGATGATCCTGAGTTCCCTGCAAAATAAGCACACATGAACTAAGCCGGGGGTTGATTCGGCGGAAACCCCTCCGACGCTCAAGTCAGACGTGCTGATCATAGAAATAGTCCAGAGAATACATATTATAATATTGCTCAGTTAATAGGACGTACCTTAAAGAATGAGTTCGAACCTTTATTTATAGCTTAGTTGAGATTGTCGGGCCCAAACATTACTTGAAGGTGATTGGGCCTCGGTGATAGTGGTCTTCGATATTGGGCTCGTGGCCCAGTAGGTAAATAATTTGTAGGCCCATTGGGTTGGGCCAATTAGGCATATCATTAAGCCCCCCACTCTCGAGTCGATGTGGGGGCCATGTTGAAATGGGTGTCAGATCGTGTCGAGAGTAAAATTTGTAGAAGTCGATCGTTGGCGTATGGCCTAATGGTGTGCGAAAACACATTGGAGCGTGTGTCGGGGGGGCGTGAAGGCGCGTTGGCGCGTAGCGCAACCAAGTTGTCGCGATGTAAGTTATTTGAGTCGTCGGTGTTGTCCCGCGACGATGTAGTAGCTCGGATCAAGTTATCTCATCGTGGGAGTTGTCTTATCGCGGGGTAATAGAGTTGATCGAGTTATCTCCTCGTGGGAGTTGTCTCGCGATAATGTAGTAGTAGAGAGCGAGTATTCTCCTCGTGGGAGTTGTTATTTATCGACATTGTCAATGTTGTGACGCGTTGCTTGTATGTGTTTACATATAGCCTTGTGCGTGATGTACTTGAGGAGGGGATCAGGCTCTCAAGATTTTTTATGGGGATCGTGCCCCTTGTTAGACCTCGTGGGTCGTAAGTGTGTTTGGACCGTGGCCACGTTTTAATGAATGACCCATCGAAAACAAGTAGATAAATTTGAGTAATCAAGCTGGCCAGGCTATATAGATTCCCCTAATATCTCTAAGTGTTTCTAGGGTTGTAATCGTGCTAACTTGAGCTTGCGATTATATAGTGAATTTCGGGCGAGTTGTCTCCTCATGGGAGTTGTCTCGCAGCGAAGTTGTAGGAGCATTGGATGACGCGCTACTGACGAGTGATGTCGCTCTGAGCGATTTCTCTCCTCGTGGGAGTTGTCTCGCAGCGAGTCTTATTATCGAGCGAGGTGGCTGCACGTAGGAGTTGCCTTGCAACAGATTTGTAGTGTCGAGCGAGTTGGCTCCTCGTGGGAGTTATCTCGCTGAGGGTTCGTAGTACCGAGCGAGTTGGCTCCTCGTGGGAGTTGTCTCGCTGCGGGTTCGTAGTACCGAGCGAGTTGGCTCCTCGTGGGAGTTGTCTCGCTGCGGGTTGTAGGACGGAGCGAGTGGTCTCCTCGTGGGATTTTCCTCGCAAGGGGTTGTAGGTCCGAGCGAGTTGTCTCCTCGTGGGAGATTTCTCACTGCGGGATGTAGGACATAGCGAGTTTGCTCCTCGTGGGAGTTATCTCGCTGTGGGTTGTAGGACCGAGCGAGTTGTCTCCTCGTGAGAGTTGTCTCGCTGCGGGTTGTAGTACTGAGCAAGTTGGCTCCTTGTGGGAGTTATCTCGCTGTGGTTTCCTAGACCCGAGGGAGTTGGCTCCTCGTGGGAGTTGTCTCGCAAGGGGTTATTGGACGGAGCGAGTTCTCTCCGCGTGGGAGTTATCTCGCTGTGGGTAGTAGTTCCGAGCGAGTTGTCTCCTCGTTGGAGTTGTCTCGCTGCGGGTTCGTAGACCCAAGGGAGTTGGCTCCTCGTGGGAGTTTCCTCGCGAGGGGTTGTAGGTCCGAGCGAGTTTTCTCCTCGTGGGAGTTGTCTCGCTGTGTGTTGTAGGACAAAGCGAGGTGTCTTCTCGTGGGAGTTGTCTCGCAAGCCCCCCACTCTCGAGATGATGTGGGAGCCAAGTCGAAAAGGGAACGGATCATGTCGAGAGTAGATCGGTGCTGTAGTCTTGGGTTAATCGTTGGCATGGCGTGGAGAAATAATATTTTTTATTTTTCCATTTGATAGCGAATGCAATTTGGTAGGCGCGTTAAAGAGATCGCGCAATTTGGTGGAGCGCGTTGAAATTCTCTTGCGATTTGGTGAAGCGCGTCAAAATCTACGCGCAATTTGGTGGAGAGTAGTAAAAGTTGCACGCGATCTGATGGGAGCGCGGGCTCCAAGGTGGCCTTGGGAAGGCGCGCGCAGCTGCTGCCCCCAGGTGCGTGTGAGCACGCGCTTCGCAATATTATTATTATTATTATTATTTTATTTTTTTATTTTTTTTGGATAGAGGCGCGCGCGGGGGTCTTGGAGGGGCCGCGCGGCTTGGCGCGCGGTCGGCATGGCCGAAATTTTTTTAATTTTTTTTTGGAATGGAGCCGCGCGCGCGGCTTGGCTTGGCTGCATCTTCTACCTCTTTTTTTTTTTTTTTTTTTGGTCTTTTTCTTTTTTCTCCTCATCTTCTTCTTTTTTCTTCTTCTTCTTTTTCTTTTTTCTTCTTCTTCCTTCTTCTCCTTTTTTTTTTTTTTTTTTTTTTTGGTTTTGTATTTCGGTGGTTTATGTTCACCCCTTTGGGGATGTTCTATTTTTTTGAGTAGGGAAATTATACTCGTCTCTTGAGATGGGATGTGCACCCCCTTGGGGTTGAAAGGTAAGGGTGATGCCCACCTTGGGATGGGATAGCCCCCTACTTTAGAATGAGGCGCTCGAGACCTATGGTCTGAGGTGGATGCACATGGTTGTGCCATTGCTTCATTGGCAACACGAGTTGAAACTTTCGCGGTCGTACGCTGAAGGTCCTTATCGGTTATCAGAATCGTTAGAGGAGCAAGTAGAAGTTGATCTTGTTGAAGGTTCGGCGATCATATGTTGAAGGTCCTCTTCGGTTATCTGAACCATTAGAGGGGGGGCGGAAGTAGACCCCCAGAGAGTCGATGACCCATGGCGAATGAAATGTTTTGGGGGCACTGTGAACCCCCAGGGAGTCGATAACCCTTGGCGAACGAAATATTTTGGGGGCAGATGTAAGCCCCCAGGGAGTCGATAACCCTTGGCGAACGAAATATTTTGGGGGCGATGTAAGCCCCCAGGGAGTCGATAACCCTTGGCGAGCGAAATATTTTGGGGGCAGATGTAAGCCCCCAGGGAGTCGATAACCCTTGGCGAGCGAAATAGTTTGGGGGCACTGTATACCCCCAGGGAGTCGATAACCCTTTCTAGTGTTGAAGGGCCTCCTCGGTTGTCTGAACCGATCGAGAGGCGAGAAGAAGTGAATCCTATTGAGGATCTAGTGAGACATCCGAGAATGTCTCGTGGTGCATGGATCCCAAGCACGAGGAGGAGGAAGTGGCAAGCCAGAGCCTCCACGGATCGGGAGGTTGTTAGCTGTGTCATTTTCTCTCCGAGCAGACGCCTCAGGAGGATCTTGTTGGCTACGTGATCTGGTTTGCATCGTTCCCACAGACGGCGCCAAAATGATGATGCTAATTAGTTAGATCACCTGATGTAGTGTAAAAAACGAGCTGGGAGAGCAAAGCAGATCAGTAGCTTGACAACTTGATGATCCTGAGTTCCCTGCAAAATGAGCACACATGAACTAAGCCGGGGGTTGATCCGGCGGGAGCCCTTCGACGCTCAAAGTCAGACGTGCTGATCAAAGAAATAGTCCAGAGAATACATATTATAGTATTGCTCAGTTAATAGGACATACCTTAAAGAATGAGTTCAAACCTTTATTTGTAGCTTAGTTGAGATTGTCGGGCCCAAACATTACTTGAAGGTGATTGGGCCTCGGTGACAGTGGTCTTCGATATTGGGCTCGTGGCCCAATAGATAAATAATTTGTAGGCCCATTGGGTTGGGCCAATTAGGCATATCAATCCTCTTTAACAAATACATAAAATAAGCATGCTTCCGAATCTGATTGAGGGATGCATGCATGCATTGTCTATATTTGTTATTTCATCAATTACATTTCTGCAAAATAGTTGGGGTTTCCCCCGATATGCAATCATCCAATGCTCATATTAATTAGCACTACGATATGTGGTGCTGGTTTGTGGATTTTGAAATGAGGAAATTTAAAATGCAAAGAAGAAGGAAATCAAGGAATTTCAAAATTCCAATTATGTTTGGTTCCAAAGAAAATTGGTCATGAAAATGATTTAGTTGAAAATCACTTTCTTTAGGGGTCTTAAGGATTATGGTGTAAACATATTATAGAAAATCTTACTCAATAATTGGAAATCATTTAGAGATTTCTAGGTGAGGGAGTTCAGTGAACTCATCTATATGAACATCCACTCAAGTATGCCGATGTCACAACACCGATGATTCATGAGACGCAGTACACGTATACCAAGTCTTAGTTTCAAAAGGAAAATGCCGATATCCTCATTATTGGCGTAATCCATCGACTAGAAACAAGGTTTAACAATTACATTACTACGCTGAATTATCTCACGATTCTACTAGACCAATCCAAAGTAATAGAGTAACTCGTTAGGAGTATATCTATGCGCTTGCATGGGATAACAAATATAGAATGCCAAAAGTAGATTTCATTAATACAAATTAAATTGTGATTACAAGAATAAGGAAAGAGCACAACCACAAGTTGACTTGTTGGTCACATACTCTAACTAAAACAATGTTTTTGTCGAAACTCATAAACAAGAACATAAAAGGACATTAACTGCTAAAATACTCACATCTCTGGCCTTATCTTGAGAAGAGTCCTTAAGATCATTGTTTCTTGATTCCATATTGCATTATTTGGTAGACTTCTCAAATTTATAAGGTTTGTAGATGAAGTAAAGGTTTTAAGGGAAAATAAATTATCTTTCAAACTCAAACTAGGGTTTGTAATATGCGTGGTGTGGTTGGTGTACTGGTTTTAAGTGTATCCAACATGTGTTTTTTTTCCTT